TTAAAATGTGTTTGGTTTGAGCTTTTTGGATTAAATTTTTTGAAAACTAAGTTTTTTATTTTTCATATTTTTTTTTTGATTTTTAGTAAATATTTTTAAAATTTTAAGCATTTTTTTTTACTTTTTCAGATGTATCTTACTTAGATGTATCTAAAAAATAAAAAATTTGGGAAAAAAATTAATAAATACATAAAAATACGAAAAATATACTGAATTCTCATTATTATTATTATTATTTTTTGTATTTTTGATATTTAGTGAATTTTTAAAATATTTTTTCACAAAAATTATACTTTTACGTGTATTTATGTTATGTGTGTCTAAAAATTTAAAAAAATTGCTTAAAATATTAAAAAAATTCAGTAAAAACAAAAAAAAAATACGGAAAACAAGAAAGTAGAATTTTCTAAAAAGTGTTTTTGGAAAACCAAAAACAAGCAAAGTGAATTCACTCTTTATAATTTTTAGGATAAATTATAAATACACCTTTGAGACTTGTTAAAAATACAAATTGCTCTTTATGATTATGAAAATTGCATCTCACCTCTTGAAATTTCTAATTTTATAACAAATAGTCCATTTTAGTAATAAATTATCAAGTTAATTAACAGTTTTTTAATGACATTATAAATATATTTCAATTAATAATTCAAGTAATTATATTGTCACGCTCCGTATTTTATTACTTGGATAACATTACCAATATTCATTAATCAAGTCCATTTACAAATAACATTTCATCATTGGATGAAATGATGATGTATTTACCATATGTAAATCAACAAACTTCCAACTTAGTCATTTCAAGATAAATCTATAACATATTAGCATACACCAAATATTAAAGCTATTTATCAATTTCCCAATTATTTTGACTCACACAAAACCTTCAATCAATTTTTGTTTCACCTTAACCAAGATAACCAATATGATTTTCACCAAATCTCATACTTATTAAATATTACCATTTCCATTCAACTATATCAAAAATTATAGTATAATCTCAATAACACACTTTTAACCATAACGGATATAACCTTTTAACCAAGGTACATACATATTTGTCTATTTCTTATTTGTACAAATTGCATACATAAATTCATTCATGCATGCATATCTACTTGTTCAAAATTTTGGAAAGTCATCTTCAAGTCTTTTTCATCATCATCATCATCATCATGAAGATGACTTTCCAAATTTAAGCCTTGAATATATATATGAGTTTAAATCTTTAAAAATAAATAAATAAATTCAAATCGCAAACACAAATACTGTTTGTCTTATGAGAAAGTATCCTAATCTACAGAAGATGCCATTTGTCTTTTGAGCAAGTATCAGGACGATTTCCTCACACACAACAACAATTGAAACAAAAACACATGTAGGACCTCAGCACTTTCCATCTCACCAAAACCCATAGGTAATGATGAAGGCGCAACTATATTCCCTTAAAGGGTACAATGCTATGCGCCACAAGTCGACTGTGACTCGGCCTTACCCCAAGTCTTTGCCACGGTAGGATACTTATCCAAACCTAGGCCAACAATCCCCCACAGCACCTGCTTGCAAGCAGCAAGCCCTCTAAGGGAATCAAACTTGAGACCTTACTCTGATACCAATTGTAGGATCCCAACGCTTACCATCTCACCAAAACCCATAGGTAGTGGTAAAGGAGCAATTTTATTCCCTTAATGGGTACAATGTCAAATGCCATAAGTCGATTGTGACACGGTCTTACCCCAAGCCTCCCCCACGGCAGGATACTAGCCCAAATCCAGGCCAACAACACAAATATCAAAATATAAATTATACACACTCACACAAACACATACATACACACATAAATACATGCGCGCGCGCGAGCACACACGCACACACACATAGAAAACTAAAAACTTTAACTCTTAGTTTCAAGTTAATATTTGATTTGATTTATTTTGTTGTAGAACCAAAAAAAAAAAAAAACAGAGAAAGGGTTCAAAAGAAACCTAAATCGTAACCACAAGACAACAAAACTTCAAATATAATTGTAAATTAAATAGTTAAAATCCTTAGAAACCCTAAGAAGAACTCTCCAAAAATAACATAAACACAGATAAGAAAGACTCTGTAAAAAAAAAAAGAAAAAAGATCATTGAACAAAAAAGTAGTTTCAAATCACAATCAAACCCTCTTTCGCTTCACATCAAAAAACGAACTGAACAAAAAATTGAAACAAATACCTAATTTCAGGCAAAAAAAGCAAACCAAACTAAACAAATCAAAGCTATCGACTCTAGATTTGCGATGGCGGTGAAACAACGGATCTCACGGCGGTGGTTCTAGATTGGTGGTAGATTTGGAGAGAAAGGGAGAGAAAGAAAGTAGAGATCCACTACGGTCATCATCGCTAGTGGAGCTGTCAGATCTTTGACGAAATGGCGATTGAATCGTTTTTTGTTGGTGAAGTCCATTTACAAATAACATTTCATCCTTGGATGAAATGATGATGTATTTACCATATGTAAATCAACAAACTTCCAACTTAGTCATTTCAAGACAAATCTATAACATATTAGCATACACCAAATATTAAAACTATTTATCAATTTCCCAATTGTTTTGACTCACATAAAACCTTTAATCAATTTTTGTTTCACCTTAACCAAGATAATCAATATGATTTTCACCAAATCTCATACTTATTAAATATTACCATTTCCATTCTACTATATCAAAAATTATAGTATAATCTCAATAACACACTTTTAACCATAACGGATATAACCTTTTAACCAAGGTACATACATATCTGTCTATTTCTTATTTGTACAAATTGCATACATACATTCATTCATGCATGCATATCTACCTGTTCAAAATTTTGGAAAGTCATCTTCAAGTCTTTTTCATCATCATCATGAAGAAGACTTTCCAAAATTAAGCCTTGAATATAGATATGAGTTTAAATCTTTAAAAAAAAAAAAAAAATTTCAAATCGCAAACACAAATACTGTTTGTCTTATGAGAAAGTATCATAATCTACAGAAAATGCCATTTGTCTTTTGAGAAAGTATCAGGACGATTTCCTCACACACAACAACAATTGAAACAAAAACACATGTAGGACCTCAACACTTTCTATCTCACCAAAACCCATAGGTAATGATGAAGGCGCAACTTTATTCCCTTAAAGGGTACAATGCTAAGCGCCACAAGTCAACTGTGACTCGGCCTTACCCCAGGTCTTTGCCACGGTAGGATACTTACCCAAACCTAGGCCAACAATCCCCACAGCACCTGCTTGCAAGCAGCTTGCCCTCCAGGGAAATCAAACTTGAGACCTTACTCTGACACCAATTGTAGGACCTCAGCGCTTACTATCTCACCAAAACCCATAGGTAGTGGTAAAGGAGCAATTTTATTCCCTTAATGGGTACAGTGTCAAAGGCCATAAGTCGATTGTGACTTGGGCTTACCCCAAGCCTCCCCCACGGCAGGATACTAGCCCAAATCCAGGCCAACAACACAAATATCAAAATATAAATTATACACACTCACACTCACACAGACACATACATACACACATAAATACATGCGCGTGCGCGCGCACACACACACGCACACACACATAGAAAACTAAAAACTTTAACTCTTAGTTTCAATCTAATATTTGATTTGATTTGTTTTGTTGTAGAACAAAAAAAAAAAAAAAAGAGAAAGGGTTCAAAAGAAACCTAAATCGTAACCACAAGACAACAAAACTTCAAATATAATTGTAAATTAAATAGTTAAAATCCTTAGAAACCCTAAGAAGAACTTTCCAAAAATAACATAAACACAGATAAGAAAGACTCTGTCAAAAAGAAAAAAAGATCATCGAACAAAAAAGCAGTTTCAAATCACAATCAAACCCTCTTTCGCTTCACATAGAAAAACAAACTGAACAAAAAATTGAAACAAATACCTAATTTCAAGCAAAAACATCGAACCAAACTAAACAAATCAAAGCTATCGACTCTAGATTTGCGGTGGCGGTGAAACAACGGATCTCACGGCGGTGGTTCTAGATTGGTGGTAGATTTGGAGAGAAAGGGAGAGAGAGAAAGTAGAGATCCACTACGGTCATCATCGCTAGTGGAGCTGTCAGATCTTTGACGAAATGGCGATTGAATCGTTTTTTGTTGGTGACGATGATCGACTGAACCTCCAATAACGAAGACTTTAGAGAGAGAAACTATTTGGTTGGATCTAGATCTAAGATCTCAAATCTGAATTCGATGGCGGCGATTATAGAGGAAGTTTGGTGAGAGAGAGAGAGAGAGAGAGAGAGAGAGATATATGAGGAAGTCGATGAAGTGTTTGTTAGAGTTGGAGCTGTAGAAGTGGCAGAGGTCGACGGTGATTATGGTTGACAGTAGGTGTGTTAGTGGTGGTGAGGTTACAAAAGAAGGAAAAAAAAAGAGTTAGAGAGAGACTTGTTGAAGTGGGATTGAACAAGAGGAAAAGAGAGAAATGTATATATAGTATGAGAAATTTGGTCATTTTATAAGAATTTATCCTTATGGACAAAAAAAAAAAAAAGACAACGCTCAAACTTTTAAACCAAAAAATAATTTAATTTTGAACTTTTAACCCAAGTATCCTAATTAAAATTATAATTTTTTTAATTAATTTTTAATTAATTTTGAGTGTAATTGTCCATAAAGTAACGCGATTGTGAGTGTTTTCAAGTAATCGAGGCGCGTGAACCTAAAAATGATCAACTCTCATGGTTTGACGAAAACAACACACAAAAGCTATTCAAAAATGCTAGAGACCTCAAAAATTCTACTAAAAATTTTATCAAATGTCTTATATGGGTGTGGGACCCATATGAAACCCACATTGTGTGGATCCCACACCCATATGAGACATTTAGTAAAATTTTTGATAAAATATTTAAGATCTCTAGTATTACTCAAAGCTATTTGAATCTTGTACGCATTAGTATTTTTCCTCATGGGATAAACCTAGTAGCCTGCACCACTTCGCTTTCTCTCTCTGCAACAACAACTACTCTGCAACCAAAGCCCGCAACCCAGAAAGCGATATCTCCAATGACGTATTGACAGATTCGATACTCTTTCTCTCTCTCTCGTCCTTTTTATTATCTCTCTCCTCCCAACTCACATGTCACTCCTCACTCATACCACTCCTCCAATGGTGAAATCGCACCACACAACATTACCACTACAACAATGGCGTCCCTGACACCAGGTGTGCTCTCTAAACTTCTCCAAAATGTAGGCAACAGCCACGTCAAGGTCGCCGGTGAGCACCGCTCTGCTCTGTTACAGGTCATTGGTATTGTCCCTTCTCTCGTCGGCGGCGACGATCCTTGGCGTAGCAAGGGTTTCTTCTTGAGAGTCTCCGACTCCATGCACTCGGCTTATGTATCCATCTCCGACGACGATGTCGATTTGATACTCAGCGACAAGATCCAGCTCGGCCAGTTCATCCACGTGGCTCGGCTCGACTCGGCGTCCCCTGTCCCCGTTCTCCGCGGCGTCAAGCCCGTGCCGAGGCGGCGGCCTTGCGTCGGGGATCCCAAGGATTTGATTTCAAGCGATTCGCTAGCGATTCGGACCAAAGTGGATTTCTCGAGTGGAGCGAAGAAGATTGTGAAGAGAGTAGAGGGAAAGGCTATGGCGATGGGGAAAGAGAAGAGATTAGTGTGCGAAGAGTCGAAGTTGAGAAGGCTTTCAATGGAGAATGCGAAGGTGGAGGGGATGGAGTTGAGGAGGTTGAGTTTAGATTCGACGCGGAGGGGTTGGGATCGGAGTAATGGGACTAAGGAGAGTCCACGATCTCTGCCGCCTTCCAAAACCAAACAGATTTCAAAAACTAAAAAGATTTCCTCTTCTTCAGATGCTGCTTCTGTGAGTTTTCTTCTTCCATATCCATATACAAACATACAATATATATGTCCATTTTTTTTTTTTGGAAAATGGTTTGAAGTTTGATTTTGTGTAGTCTAAGGTTGTATTTGGTTCATGAATTTAAAAAAGAAAATGAAAAAAGTGTGTCCATTTCCGTTTTTAAATCTCTATCCAAATTCATGAAGCAAACACAAATTCATGTCACTTTGTGTTGCACAGTTTTCCAACCTCTGTTCGCAGTGTATATATAGGGGTGTTTGTTTGGCCTTTTTTTAGGCCAATTATAGCTTTTAGTTTTCGAAAAATTATTTTGGAATGTTTGGTTAAGATTATTTTAAACGGTTTCTGTTTCTAATAATTTATTTTAAAAAATTAATTCTGATAAGCTGTGCACTCCTTGCTTTTGATTCTCAATGTAGACATGTTAATTTACGATTATATTCTTAATTTTGTTTATTTTTTATTTTTTTAAAATATAGAAAATGCCCAAATGGACTATAAATTATTATTATTATTGTTATTATTTGTGAGAAATATAGACAAGTAGTGAATAACAAAAAAATAAAAATAAAAATAAAAGTTAATTGAAAAAGTTACTTCACAGCATATTTAACAAAAACTACTTAGTAATTTAAATCTATAATCCAACCAAACAGATTAACAACTTCTGATTAAAGTCATAATTTATAATCTGTTAAGGTATAATGTATAATTTGTTTCAACAGTTATACCAAACGGGGCCATAATTGGTGCACTATTCTCTATTGTATTTTTGTTTGTTAGTTTTGATGCTAAGGTAATGAGTTCGACCTTCCCAGAACTCCCAACTCTGAATCATCAATACAAATAGGTAACTCTTTGCTTTAAAAATGCACCTGTCCTAAAATATTAGAGCATCCACAATGGGATGGTTAAAATAATTTGTTAAAGTGTGTTATATAACAAAAAATGATAAAAGTGGGGCTAAAAAATGTATGTTAATTAAGAGGTTGTTAATTTTAGAAAGTGAGTGGTGATGCAATGGACATGTTAAAGTGTGTGTTAAGGGGTGTGTTAAACAATATATATATATATATATATATAAATAGTTTGCAGAAGTTGGTTTGGAAGTGAGCTGGATGTCTGTTTGGTCAATCGGTCAACAACATCTATATATATATATTTTTTTTGAAGTGTTCGGAGGTCCAGGGGATGACCGGCCGAACGTCCGAGGGGATGATTGGGACATCCGGCCGGACGACCCCACGGCACTTCTCCACACCCCTCTCTCTCTCGCTGGCTAAAACGCTAGTTATAGTTGACAAAGAAGTTAACACTAACACTAACAAAACCCACTAACACACTACTTAACACTTTCACTGTGAATCCAAAAGTTACTGTGTCTCTCCTAAATTTTGGCCACTGACACTAACACACCATTTAACTAGTCCATTGTGGATGCTCTTACTCCCTTATTCCATTTTTTATTGTCCCAAAATATTATTTACTTTTCAAAAATCAAGAACCAAAATAATATAAATTTCTTATTTTGCTATTCTTTTAAATTTATTAACAAAACAAAAAGTATAATTATACAATTGATATTCCTAAAAAAATGTATTATTAAAGAGTAATTTTTGAAAATTAATATTTTTAAAGTATAATAATTGTACAATCAAAAAATTGAGGAGGGAGTAATTTTTTTTGGGAGGGAAATTCAATTGTTCAATTGCGCTAATTTTTTTTTTGGTAATATATATATTTTTTTTTTGGGACATGAACCCCACGCACTCCTTCCTTTTGTGTGTAGAGAGTTTACTGATGAGTTGTGTAAATTACATGGCCTTGTTTGGGAAGTAAGCTTTTTAGCCAAAAGCCATTAGAAGTTGTCAAAGCTTTTGAAATTATCTAAAATATCAATCCTATTAAATAAGAAGTATTACATGACTTTATATAGAATTAGGAGATTTCTTAAACCAATTAGAACAAAAAAATAAAAGTACTAAAACTTCGACCTCCAAAAACCCATCTCAGACCAGATAAGAAACAAAAATCAATTAAATAACTTGATTTATAAGCTGATCCATGGGTGATCTGGATAACCCATGTCTAGAAAATTTTGAAATTACCAAAATACCTTTGAACTAGAAAATTACCATAAGGCTAAAACATTACTATTCAAGGCCCCAAGTGAGTTGCTTATCATCCAATGCATGCCAAATCAAAGCTTGGGCCTTATAAGCATCTTTTTTGCGTCTCTTGTATACTTTAAGAGGTTGCTGCAACTTGCCTTTGTCATTTCTCCCCGGCTTGAAAAAACTTGACCCTGGCAAGTTAAAACATGGAACTGTTCATAAAATTCATGGTCTACAGTGCTGGAGCTCCTCATCATTGATCCATGTACAATTTGAAAGTGGACACCCCTTCCATTTAATGAGGTACTATTGATAACCACCACCTTTAGTTAAAATAAGTTGATGATCAATAATGTCATCAATATCTTCCTTCAAACGTAGGGCTGGTAGAAGTCAAGTAACAACCCCATCACTAACATCACCATCGTGACGTTGGTATAATGTAAGATCTTTGATGTTGAAGAAATTACTTATGCTTACATTGTCCAGCACATAGAGTACATACACGTTAGAACTAATCCTCCTGAGAATTTTGTATAGACCAGAACTTCTTGAATGAAGCTACTTGTATGCACCCTTAGGATATCACTCAAGTCTGCTATGGATTGCAACCATGTCCCCTTCAAATTCTGAAAACTTTCTTCTCAAATCAGCATGTCCTTTATAACCCTCATTGCTGAGTACAATCTTTCTTCGAATCTCATCATGTATCACATGAATTGTATTTGCAAAAGTATCCACCTCAACCTCATCTTGTATCGCATGAATTTGATTAGCAAAAGCATCCACCTCAACACTAGGATGTGCCTCAATGGGTAAATGAACCAAATCAATTGGTTTCCAATGAAGTAAGCCTGTTAACAGTCTCAAAGGAGCTGCGACTGGTGGTCTGATTAAGTGAACTGTTATATGCAAATTCAGCCATAGAAAGAATTTTGATCACAACTACCAACATGATCATTTACAAGGCAATGAAGAAGGTCACCTAAACTTTGATTAATAACCACCTCTGTTTGACCATCGGTTTGGGAATGGAAAGAAGAAAATTTCAGCTTTGTATGCAGCATTTTCCACAAAGTACGCCACACATAACTCAAATACTTCACATCGCGGTCCGAGACAATTGTTTTTGGCAAACCATGAAGTTGGACAACTTTTTTGAAGAATATTTCAGTAACATGGACAGCATCGGAAGTCTTTGAACAAGGGATAAAGTCAACCATTTTTGAGTAGCAATTCACCACAACAAAAATGGAGTCATGTCCCCTAAGAGTTTGTGGCATTGGCAGCCTTAGGATGAAGTCAATGCTTTGGTCTTGCCATGGTTCATGTGGTACTGGTAATCAAATGTATAAACAAGTATTTTTTTTTGTTCCTTTTGAAAGTTGATAGGTATGACATAGGGAAACAACTCTAGTGACATCCTGCTTTAGACTTGGCCAATAATAATGATCTTTAACCTTTGCAATCGTTTCGGCTTTGCCAAAATGACCTGCTACTCTTCCAGAATGCGATTCTCGAATCACCTCTTCACGTAGAGATGTACTAGGCAAGCAAAGATGAGTCTTTATAGTCTTTTTATGGTTGTACCATTAAGTTAAAATGTTTTAATTGCCAAGGTTTTGGCATCAAGCCCAAGATTGCCTTTTGCCGAAGATTAATGATTTAATTAAGCTTGTGGTTGTTATTAAAAATGAAGACATTATAGAGGCAAAGCAACGCTTGAGTTACAAGTTATTGAACCCCTTGATCTCGACTTTGATGATGAGGAATTCCAAGATGGGGTGATTGGGATCATTTGGCCATTACTTGCAACTAGTAAGGCCAACATGAAGGAGCTCGAAAAACTATAGCATGGACAAATTTTTCACACATGGCTGAAGTATCATGATTAAGTGTGCTCTCTATTGATTGATATAGGAAGCTGCACTAATGTTGTGTCTGAAGATGCTGGGAAGAAAATGGGATTGAAGGTTGAGACACATCTCAAGCCTTATCATGGAATTAGGATCCTTTTCTTGATATCTCTCCTTGCCTCCCTACTTGCTGGGCCATTGGGCCCATTTTTGGACCCAATTTCGATGATCTGAACTGTTCACATTTTAAGATTTGTTGAATATATCATACTTGTAAAAAATCAAGTTGATTGGATATCAGAAAGCATGTGTTCAGAAAACTATTTATTAATTTTTTTTTAAAAAAATGGTTTTTAGTACGATGATCTGAACACGTAGTTTTTGAAATTCGATCAACTTGATTTTTTACAGGTATGTTATACTCAACAAATCTTAAAATGTGAACAATTCGGATCATTGAAATTGGGCCCAATGGCCCAGCAAGTAGGGAGTCAAGGAGAGAGTGGCATGGAGAGGATCCTGATTCCTTATCATGTGGCATGGATAACCAACATGAAGCTAAAGGTTATCAACGATGCCTGGAGACATTTAGTATAGGCAACATCAAAGGGATGGTATTGTGTGATGTTCTTTCTTTTAAGCTTTGTCATATTCTACTTTGTTTACTCTCACTTGTGCTACCGATTTATGCACTGTTAAATTCAACAATTTTTTATTTATTTGCGTGTTCCTCCTTCCGATAGGAACCTTGGTCATGCTCTTAACTCGTTGGAGTCAAGTTCTTTTAAGCAGAGGAGCCCGTTATTAGATTTGGAAATCCAAAGTGAAGCCTGTGGGTCTGAAAATGTTTTGGTCTTGTAAATGTAATTGGTAATATTATTTAGTTAGGATTTAAATTAATTAGCAGTGAGGTGTTTTGATTTTGTTTCCAATCATAGTTGTCAAATCGAGATTCGTATCGTGAATCGAAATGACCTTGTATTGAATCGCGAATCAAATCGAATCGCAAATCGTAAAGATTTGGTCACTTTTTTAAAATTAGATAAAAATATATATTTACACATTTAGATATTAAATATATCTTATGAGTATGAAATATTTAGATTTAAATCAATGAAAATGTTATTTTGAGTGATAATCATGTAGTTTAATAGGTAAGAAGTTAACAAAGATTCTTATGTAAGACCACTCTCTTCTTTTTTTTTTAGATATTTCTTATAAACCATTCTTAATAAAGATGATAACCAAATAGACAAATGATCAATTTCCAAAATAAAAAAAATTAACAACGATATTGATATTTGGACAATAAGCATACGCACTTTTCTAAGTAACAGTGAACAAATAATAAGAAAAAATTATTTAGAATATTTTATTTTAAAGTCTAAAACATTTTCAAAGGTATAACTGACCTCACATATGTAATATTCAATTATATTCAATTTAATAAAATAGCAATAGATAATTCATAGTGTAACTTTAATCTTAAACATCTTTAGAAGACATATTATGATTTTTTAAAGAGAGAAAAAAATGAGACGAAAGGTTAAAAATATATTGGGTCTGAATGAATCTGATTGTATTCTATTAAAAACTTCATGATCACTAAAATAACAACAAATTATGTATATATGTTGGTTATTTTGGTATTAAACGCTATTAAAAGTTGTATTATGTCATTTTCACTAAAAACATAGAGGAAAAAATAGTCGAAAATATGCCAGACACATTAATTTAAAAAATTACATGAATCATAAAAAGTGAATTGAATTGTGAATCGATTGTGAATCGTGCGATTCACTAGAGATTTACTTCCAAAATAGATTCACTCATAGATTCGTATCTATTTTTCAAAAAATTTGAATCGAATCGCAAATCGAATCACGAATCGTAAGATTCTGATAAAAGAGAGATTCACCCATAGATTCGTATCGATTTTGTAAAAATCGTGAATCGAATAGTGAATCAAATCGCAAATCGTAAGATTCTGATAACAGAGTTTCCAATAACGTTAGGAACTCGTTTCCTAATTTAATTAGGGTTTTGAGTTTTAAGTGTGGGGTCTTTGGTATTGTATGGTGAATTATTAATGAATAAAATATTGAGTTAAGAAAGGCTATGGCTGATTTTGTTTTTCCCTCTTTCTTCTCTCTATTATGTTTTCCATCACTTCCCTTCCCAATTGGATGCCCGTCCCCTACACAACCCTTCCTCACCAAAAACCAAAAGGCTAGATTTGGCACCTAAGAAGAACGGACACGGACACGCTACATGGTAATTTCAAAAAAATGAGGACAGGGACACGATAATAAAATATGTTTTCATATATATTTTTTTTATATCAAGATTAATATTACATCCATAAACAATTAATATTAACAAAAACTAACTTTCATTTTTTTTTTATTTAAAAAAAGTACTTTTAAATTAACAATTACAGTATATATATATTTTTTATGATTGATCTATTAATTATTTAAATCTAAGAAAAAAAAATGATAAACATTCAACATTTATCAAAAGTACTAAATAAAATGAGAGAAAAGATAACTTGGCATGTCTCTAATGTGTTCTCGAAATGTCCCCTAAAAATAAATTAATTAAATAAGGGGACACGCCATGTGGTGTGTCCCTCGAAGTGTCTGCGTGTTTGACATGGATACGGCACTTAGTTTGAGGTGTCAGTGCTTTCTAGTTTGGCACACCCCAAAACCCTAGTTACATATATATATATATATATATATATTAGAGGCTATGGGGATGGGGCAATGAGGGGGTTAGAGGTGTTGGGTTCAACCCTAGTTTGAAAAGCCTCTATGTATGATGTATGATTTGCATCTGTTTTTTAAATTTTATATGGTGTATTCTTGTTTGTATGCTCTAGCCCCTGCGACTATTTATACAAGGTAAGTCAAAAACATGTCCTTAGTATTATAAAAGTGTGCCCAGTAAGTAGTCTTGGGTAGTATTGCAATTTTTATTTGGAGCAAAAGATAATCAATTCTATAATTACTTTTAGAATATTGTTTTTAAAATTTGATAACTTGGAAAATATATGTTTAATGTTGAGAAAGTATTTTTTTTAGTTTGGGCCATTGTAAATTTTAGTGCTATGCGACAATAATGATTATATTTTTTAATTAGTATCAATAATGTTATGTTGACTATCTTTATGTATCATATTTCATTTATCATCTCATTCGTAGTTACATTAATAACAGACATGTGATGGAACTCATCAAATCAATGTAATGATGATATACGTAAAATGGTAAATAAAATATAGTGATAGCATTATTGATTCAATACATCTTAATAAATTTACACAAAATTATAAAACAACAAATAAATTTTAAATATTCTTTTAATAAATTTAATAATTTTATTTGACTAATTCAAAATTTATTGCAACCCAACTTGACTAGTTTTTCATCTAGTGAGATCGTATTCTATTCATATCTTTTTGGCCCCCCACTAGTACAATCCTGGCTTCACCCCTGAGTGGGAGTGATGGTGGGTGGGCATCTAGGGGGTAGAGGTCCCTAATGTGCCACCCAAAAAACATAAAGTCCAAAAAAGTTGTTCACAATGTGAAGTTTTTCTTTTTCTTTTATTCTTTTTTATTTTTCCCAAAGAAAAAGAGAGGATAACCCACTCTTTTCTCGTCATTTCTCTCCTAAATTATCCAAATATTGAGGGGATAAACCACTGACCTTCCTCTGCTTCTCTCTCTCTCTCTCTCTCTCTCTCTCTCTCCCCTACCTAATTTTTGTCTTTTCTCTCCTAGTTTCTGTATGAGGTCAAATGTGTTAATTTTTCCCCCTTGTCGCCAAAGAATTTAGGTGTGTAAGTGCCCATAAAGAATTGTATCTTTTATTGACGTTGGACTTTCTTTGATATTGGAATCTGATTTCCCTGGGTCTGTGCTCTCTTTTCTTTATTATTGTCTTTTTTTCCTCCCTTGGGACCAATGAATTGTATGAAATTGTATAGCTGATTGTTATTGCTTGATGCTATATGTGCATGCTCCTCATTTTTTTTGGGATTCTTTGAAAACTTAATTTTGGGATTCCATATTTATCGTGTTTTGTTTCTCAGGAGGTTCACTCCATTCGGAAGGTTTCTTCTGAAAAGAATTCAGCCTTGAAACATCCAAATTTGAGTATTTCACCACTTAAAAACAAAAATCAGAATGTTTCACAGAAGTTAATAACCAAGCCTTTAGGAAAAGATTTGAAATCATCCTCTGATGGTGCTCTACCGGGCCGTCTCTTTAAGGTACCCCTCAGTTTCAAAACTTGGTCAGATCAGAAGGTTTTGTGGGATTCACTTCCACATACTATTCATGATCTTGGGAAGGTATGCGATTATTTACATGTCTAAAGCTTTTCTATTACATAGCATGCCAATATCTTTGTTTTCATAGAAATGATGATGTGCTTAGGAAGCTATGGGTCATAGGGATCTTGCATTTTTGACTGCTGTACATGCACTGGAAGAAGCATCAGCTGCAGAGTCTGTCATCCGATGCATGAGGTACATAATTTGTGCATGCACATTTTTTCTCTTTATTTTTCTATCTTCTTATTGTAGTATTTCGTCATAACACAATATTGTGAATCTTTAAGTCAGGATATTTCACTTACCTATTGCCCATATCACCCAATGTATTTAATTTTTGTTGTACTGATGCAGATGAGATTTGAAGATATCATTTGAAAATTATTTGTTAAAATTATTAGTCTAGAATTATTAGTTTCCTTTCTTAGGTTTCCTAAATTGTGTTAACTATTTTATCTTTTTCTTGTTCTACAATAATATCGGTTTCTTTTTTTTACTTTTTTGACTAGCAAGAATTTGCCTAATTACCTAACTTGCTCTACAAGTTGTACTTTAGTATAAATAAGGTTGTAAGCTTTAGGGCTTATTCAGTTTATGTTTGATTAATAAAATCAAGTGTTTTGTCAATATTGTTTGTGCTTAGAGAGAGTATCTCTAGTTCATATTTCTTTGTGGTTCAATGTAGTTTTTTGCTCATCTTTTCGATAGGCTTCCCTACATCATGTACACTGCCAATCATATTATATCACTATGCTTCCGCTTCTGTATTTTGATCTCCCATTATCGACTAAAAAATGAAAAACATTATTAGAAAATGTGCTTAATAAATGGGATGGTATGAAAAGGTAATATTATCACCATCATAAATTTCAAAAAATTTTATGAATGTCATGTACCTAAGTGGGCTTAGTAAGTAGTCATTGATGATCTTATACTAGATAGTGAACACAAGGTTACTTAAAACAATTTATGTATGCAGAAATTCAGGGAAGTGGCTTACTGTACTATTTCTTCTTTCATTTATACTAGATACTTAACTTAAGGTGGTAAGTTATGTTTTGAAACCCGGACCGGACCGGACCGACCGGTTGGACTGGAAACCAAGCCTTGTTCCGGTCCAGTCAACCCCCTAAAATCGGAGTGGGTGCAAAACCGGCCTAGAAATGGAAAACCGGAAGACCCGGCGGTTGAACCGGCAAAACCGGTGACCCGGACCGGGTTTGGAGGGTCGGCCGTTTTTTTTTTTTTTCTTCTTCTCTTTCTTTCTTATATATATATATATGTATATTTTAAAATTTTGACTAAAAATTCTTACTTCAAGAGTCTCCTCTCAGAAGCTTGAGAATATTATGAAAGTCTATTCCGATTTATAGGAAAAGATTTTTCAAAGAGAACTTACAAAATTCTATGTGGGATTCAATCAAATTATTTGAAACATATTGATTAGAGGGAGAGTTAAAAATTTCATTTCCCTCCAAAATTAAACCTAACATTCAATCAATTTGTTTGGAGAGAATGTTTAAAAAAATTAATTTCTTTAAAAAAAGTGACTTTTTTTTTATCAATTATGACTTTATTAAATATTATTAATAAATATTATACAATAATTTTTATTTTTATTTGAGTATTTATATATATTTTTATTTATTTATAATTTTTATATTTATTTATAATATATAGTTATATTTTTTAATTATTTAATATTAATTATGACGTCATGGTTCGACCGCTTTGACCCGACGGTTGAACCAGTGACTCGTCCACCCGGTCCCTTTTCCGGTTCGCTCACCGGTCCGGTTTTCAAAACATTGGTAACTAAAGCATGAGTTAATTTTGAAGTTGTACTTTTCTGTGACAACAATGCAAGCCATAATACAAAATTGTTCCCCTCTTTAATTTTGCTAGTGAAATGGTTTATTTTTCTGTTTTCAGCATGTTTGCAGAACTGTGCCAGTCCCCTCAGAAATATTCTGCAGGAAAAATAGTAGAGCAATTTTTGAACCTTCATCAGGGTATGCAGAAAGCAGCATCTGTTGTTGATACCTTACTCAGCACAAGGCTTCAGGAACCAAAAACCAGCCTTCGCTCTCAGTGCCCACCGCAAGAAATGTGCGAAAATTCCTCCAATAAGAATGCCATATCATGGGTACTAGCTGCTGTGGAGACTGATCTTTCTAAGATCTGTTTGTTCAGAAAGGAAGACGAAAGGGAAATTTCAAATGGCGAGAAATGCCACCTAGTTGTATTGGAAAACGCTTCACAGAAAGTTGAGTTGGAGAACCATTCTCCTCAATGCAAGCGAAGCCCTAATAATCATGGTAGTTCTTTGTCAGAGTCACGGTCAAAAGGGTCATCTCCTACGCTGAGGCGTCTCTCGACCACTAAGAAAACAAAAACTGAAAGGGAGGAGTGGTCTAACGGGAGGGGATTAAAAGAGGCAGCTGTTTTAGCAGAAAAACTGCTTGTGATATCTCGGGCATGGTTCTTGAACTATTTAGAGGATTCATTGAACAAGGGATTTGGAGGATCTGAAATGGCAAGTCTCCTTGGGCAGCTGAAAAGGGTTAATCAATGGTTAGATGGCTCATTTGTGGACGGAATTAGGACTGATGGCAGAATAGAGGGCTTGAGGAAGAAGTTATATGGATTCCTACTGGAACATGTTGATTCTGCTGTTGTTGCAAGTAGGTAGGTAGTTGCTATTGCTGACCGTGTCAAATGGAGATGTGATTACTATACAGCTAAAACAAATTTAGCATGCGGCTTTTAGTTTTACTGCAAAAGCTTTTGAAACTGTATTTCTAACCTCAACTGAATAAGAAAAGAAGTCTAGTTGTTTCACTGCAAAAGCTTTTGGACTGTATTTCTAACTTATACTGATTAAGAAAAGAAGGAAAGTCGGGGATAGAAGAATGAGTTGGAAGCCTCATTATTCAAGTGTATAGAGCAAACTTGAGAATTATTTGGTTCCTTGATTTTTCTTTGATGCTTGTCATTTGTTTCTTCTCTCTTTGTGGTTAAATTTGCAGCTAGCCATGAAATTTGTGCTCATAGCAAGAGAACATAAACACAGGAGTCACTTTGAATCTTGTATTGCCATATTTGTGCTCATGCTTCTCATTTCCATATTCCAAATTACCTCTCTTCTGCCTGATTAAAAGAGAGGAATTTAAAAAGATGATTAATTTATACAGTGAAATCTATCAATTTTATGTTTATATTTTCTCTGACAATCTAACAATAGAGTGAGTGACAACCTATGATTGACATCGAGTAATGCCATGTGATGACAGGTAATTTTTTTTTTCAAATGAGACTCGAGAGAATAGTATAACAAAAATTATTCATATAAACTCATATACAATTATTGTAACACTTTAATAGGTCTAATTATTCCTATTTGTTACCAATATATAGCGATGACATATCAAATGACAAACAAAATATGATAAAATAATATAATTATTATAATATTATTATGACATGATCCTGTTTGGTAGAGTTGTGGAAAAGTGTTTATAGCTTATGCCTTTTATAGCTTATAGCTTATAACTATGAATATAAACTGATTTCTGACTTATAAATTAAGCATCTCCTGTTCCACTAAAAGAATAAGCTGATTTCTGACTTACAAGAAGTTATAAGCTGCATTGTTAAGTTAAACCAAACACATCAAAATAGCTTAAATTAAGTTGAAAGTTGAAATAAGCAGCTTTTAAATTGCATCAATTAAGCAGAAAGCTGAAATAAGCAGCTTTTAAGCTGCATCAAATAGGCACATAGAGTTGTATGGTTTGAGGCATGAGATGAGAGAGGACAGGGAAATAGGGTCATGTGTGATAAAGAATGCATGATTTCTATGGTTTGAGATCCTATCCATTTTCATTGATGGTATGACGATTTCCATTTCATTATCTATAGTTGAAAAAGATCCACATCTTTATTTAAATTTAAAAAAATTGTTACAAAAAGTTTTCAAGCTACAATAAAATGAAAGTTACCAAAACAATCATATCATCTATCCATGGATTTGAATTACAGAGCTTTGAGGTGTGAATGTTGTAGGTTCCAACCAGTCCTAAAAATCCTCTGAGACCTTCCCAACTTATCTCCTTTGGAAATCTCAAGCTCTCTTATCGCGTCTGTTGATCATCACCATGGCCGAGTCATTGGTGTCCACAGCACCACATTTCATGAAGTTCCAGATCATGTTAGATGCCTTACTCTTGGGTGATGAAGCCAGTGTTTTAACAGGATTTTCAACATTAATATTGCTTTTGTTCTTCTTTTTCTTGTTATTAATTAACAGTGTAGACGAAGAACAACTCTTTAATTCGAGACTTGTATGTTCTTGTGTTTCTTGTTCGTTCATCTCTGAATGTTTCTCTTCTTCGAGTTTCATTGAATCATCTATCAACGTGGATGTGTCTGATTCAGATCCGAAAGGAGGCGATTCTTCTTCTATTTCGCAACATGTTTTTATCAAGGCATCATCATCCATTGCTGTTTCTTTGTTTTCTTCAATTTCTTCTTTACAACACCATTTGAGGTCTCTCGCATCATTTTCCATGGAATCTTTCTTTTCCTCATGTGAAGGAAGATCTGTTGTGTAAAAGGATTAAAGTTGAAATTCTAAATCTTTGCACAACATAATGTTTTGAAATGCAAAATTTATATGCACAAAATTCCGCCATCAGCACAATGAAGTTCATCTTTGATGAAAATTTATTAATGCTATATACACAACAAGAATTGTTCAAAAAAATTACTGTGTGATTCATTCATTTTGGATTTCATCACATAGAGGATGTATTTGAATCACACACTGATTTTTCTGTACATAATTTGTAATTGTTGTTTGTTTTTTGTTTTTTGTGCACATAGGATTACTAATGAAAACAAATGAGAAGATCAATGAATGTGGATCTCTCTCTTAACAACTCATGCTTTTTAAATCTATATTTTTTTTTTGGTTTAATTTGTATATGTACAAGCAAATTAAATGTAGTTTTTGACATTGCAAATCTTCTGTACAAGCTGATGTAAAAAGAATAAATCAAGAAAACATTTGATCAATTGATTAGTCAACCAAATAAATATTGAAATTTACCAAAATTAGTTGAGGAAATTTCCGATCCTTTGAGGACGTATTCATTGTCGGAAATGGGAGTAATGAGATCCTCATCCACCAAGTCTTGCCATACATAACCTGTCTTGTACCTCCTGCATGTAGCCAAATATGTCCATACATAATACCTCTTAACCTTCACATATACATTCATATTTGTGCAGTATACATACATGATACATCTATTGGGATACATATCTTTATTCATGGATTGTATATTACTGACATTTATTAGCACAAAATTTTGATAAAGAAAAGCTAATACAAACAGAATTCTAGTAATATGTACAAACCTCTTGTAAGACCAGTAGAATGATTCAGGCATGTCCTTTCCTCTCAATTCCCTGAGCCATCTCTTAACATCTTTTTGTTTCAAACAAGAAATCACAACCCATTAATTCAGAGAAATCCACATTAAGCTATATATACATATATGTTTAGTTGTATTTTTATTTTTATTTTTTGTTTTCTATTTTCTAAAAACACATTGATTCAGTTGTCAGAAATTTTGTGTGAGAAAGTTATTCCCTAGAAAGTGCAGTAAAGTGAAGTAAAAGACAATGAAATTTTTTTTTCCATGTGTTCAGTTGTCCGGAAAAAGAAAGTGTATTGTTAAGATTCCTGTAAAATTTTGTAATTTTTGCAAAACATATTTTGAGAGAAAACATGTCATATTGGAAAAGTTAAAAATACGAGTCACAAATTTTTTTGCTAAATAAACATGGAAAAAGTTACGGCATCACGTATTTTATTTTCTTTTCCTACCAAGTGAAGTAATTGCATACCGTGCAAGCGAACTCCATTTCGAGAGAGATGATGGACTCGGATGAGATGGGGATGCTCGATTTGACCTTTTCGGCTGAGAAAGTAGATGACGTGAAGTCTTCTTACTTCACCAAAACCACTACCACCGCTATCATCACTGCCACATCTACCACCACCTTCAACCTGGGCTTCCATTTTTCCGCCCAAAAATTGCCACTCACCACCAAACAACTAAGTAAACAGTTCTAACCTTTTTAATGCAATCTCATTGAATTGTTTTTTAAAACAAAGAAAAAATTGAAACACAAAATAAATTTTTGCGTGCCGGCCTGCTGTAGAAAAAGCAGAAAAGATAAAGAATTCCTAGTGTTTAATGGTTGATCTGTTGAGAAACAAATGTAACGCTACTTGTGCAGGCCTGACAAAAACATATTACAATTACACACAAAGACACATACAATACTTACAAAAATAATACAAGTTTCTCACACTAATAAAAGAATAATTGCTTTTTGAGATCAGCTACATACTAACTTTCTATGCAGCAGAGACAGAAAATTGTTATGTATATAGGCAACTCAGTAGGAGAAAATTGTTATGTATATAGGCAACTCTTCACCATATACATATATATATTTGCATATTTACAATATTATATCTCAATTATTTGAACATATTGTTTAGCTTAAAAAAATAATCAGGGTTGTATTAGACAGTTCCACACAACTACCCCAGAAAAAGTCTGGTTTGATTCCACCAAAAATAAAATAAAATAATAATAATAATAATAAAATTTAAAAAAATAGTTCTTATCCAATTGTAAATTACAATTGTAAGAATAAATTGATAGAGAGAGAATTACAGAGAATAAATTATATGTATTATGATTGATGTGTATTGATTGATATTTATCTGTATATTACAATTCCTATATATAGAGGAGAAGATGGTAGTAGGTGTAGGTGGTAGTGGAGGTGGTAGGTGGAGTGGGTGGTAGTGGAGGTGGTAGGTGGGTGGTAGTTTACATTTTACAATTTACATTTTACATTAACAGCCACCCTCAAACTCAAGGAGGATAGGTACTAGCCAACTTGAGTTTGGAGAGAGTAACAAAACAGAAAAATAAGCTGACAATTAAAAATGGGATAGGAGACACTGTATGGTCGTGTCGGACCGTTGTAGCAGACAGTTTACGGGGTCATGTCGGACCCTGACCAAAAATCCACAAATAGTTTTGTTTAAATTTTCATTTGTCCGTAATGATTTTTTAAATATTTTTGATCAATTTATTTTACTTTTTAAATGCATCTTGATTAGGTGCATCTAAAAATTACAAAAAATTGATTAAAATATAAAAAAAATTAATAAAAATAAATGAGAACTTATTTAAAAACAAGTTTGGCAAAATCAAATCAAACAGACACTTTTGGGTTCTACTTGATTAGACAGACTAGCAAAATTATTTCTTTTAAAAAAATTTGAAAAAAAAAATTCAAAAAGGACAAACAAAAACAGTCAATTTTTTTTTGGGATTATTTATTTATTTATTTATTAGAATTTTTGTCTTTTACTTTTTAGATTCGTCTTTTGACAAATTAAAAAAAAAAATTACTAAAACAAGGGGACAATTGCAAAAAAAAAAAAAAATGGTATGAACTCAAAATAATTACAAAAAAGATGAAAGTACAGGACTTAATTCCACAAAGGTAATGGCAAACACTTCTAAGCCTTACTTTTAACAACTAGTGAGACAATTTAATAGTGTGGTACGTGTACCAACCAAAACCAGTTTAAAGTCAAAATGTTTGCATGGCATATGAAGAGAGACAAGTTAGTGTGAAGTTAGGATTTTCAATTTTGAATGTTGTCATCATAAAAATTGGAAAACTAGAAACCAAGCGAATATTACATTCTTTTCAACATGAGTATGCTAAACAATAATTTCTGCTACTTTGGAAGGGCAACTAACATCAAACTAATTTCAGTTTGTAGATGTTTTTTAGAGGGGAGTTAGATTAGATGTTGGGTGACCTAATTATAGGAAGTTTAATGAATGAATCAGTACCTCTAATCCCTAGCGTTTATATTGTCATTGGTCATAAAAAAGTGCACAAAATTTTAAAATATTTTGAAATTCATAAAAATGTATTAAATTTAATGATAAGTGTCACAAGATCTCCATGTTATTTTTGTCATTTTCTTGTGTCTTAGCGGTAGTTGTTAGCATAACCATTAAATAAATAAGCAAACCTTTTTTCCATGACTGTCCCATGAACCAAAAGGTTTACGAGCAACTAGAGGTGGCAAATGGGTGGATATGGGCGGGTCAAAACGAGTTATGCATTTAAAGCAATCCAACTCAAACTTGCCCATTTAATAAATAGATTTAAATGGGTTCGATTGAATCGGATACGGGTTGGACAAATGAACTTATCCAATCCATTTACTACATCTCTATTTTATTATTAATAAATTTTCCTAAAAGAAGTATTTTTTATTTTAAAAAAAATATTTTTTATTATTTTAAAATTTTTGATTTTTGATTTTTAATTTTTTTATGTTGACGATGGCAGTGGTGGAGCGGAGATGGTGCAGGAGTGGCGATAGTGGTGATGTGGCGATGGTGGTAGAGGTGGCGTTGGTGGTGGTGGAGTGGCGGTAGTGGAGGACGAGGTGGTGTTAGTGGTGTGTAGTGGTGGTGGAGTGGTAGTAGTGGTGGTGGTGGTGGTGGAAGAGGTAGTGGTGGTGGTGTGTCGGCGGTGGTGGTAGTGGCAGCAGTAGTGGTAGTGGATTGGCAGTAGTAGAGGAGGTGGTAGTGGTGGTGGTGATAGAAGAGGTCATGGTGGTGATGGTGGTGGAGTGGCAGTAGTGAAGCAGAAGGTGGTGTTGGTGCTGTGTCGACGGTAGTAGTGGTCGTGGAGTGGCAATGGTGGAGAAGGTGGTGGTGGTATAGTAGTGGTGAAGTGATAGTGGTAACGGCAGTGGTGGTGGTAGTGTGTCGTCAGCGGTGGTGGTGGTGGTGGAGGAGTACCAACGGTGGTGACGATGATAGAATAACGGTGGTGAAAGAGGTGTAGAGGTTGCAAATGGGGGTTTAAATGGGTAACTCTCGTTTGTGAACAGGCTAATTTAGTAATTTTTTGGCTATTTGGTTAAAATATGAGCTAAAAAAAATTAGTATGTTTGGGATGACTTTTTGAATTTTTACGAAAATATGTGTAAAAAGTAGAGAGAAAAGAGAATCTTTAACTTTTTTGTATGGGTTGTTGGCTTTTTGGCTAATTTAGTAACTTTTTGACTTTTTGGCTAAAAAGTTCGGTTGCCAAACGAGGCCAATCAACAGAGTGTTATCCCAAAACTGCCCATTCAAATAGCGGGTTGAATATGGGCAGGTTGGATATGGGTTATATTAGACCCGCCCCGCCTAGCCAGACCCTCTTTTATTTATATTTTTTTTGAAGCTTGTGTGTGTACGCGGTCGTGCACCCAAACTCAAGACTTGTAAATACAAGATTTGTTGTGTGCGCGCGTGCGCGCACGCAAACTCAAGACTCGTAAATGCAAGACATGTTATGTTCAACCAAACTCAGAAAACCCGCAACCAAATTAAAACTCTTACACTGATTGAATTTACGACCAAATTTACTAAACTTCAACGGTATAGATCTCACCCAGGCATTCAACCCTTACCCCTGAATGCACAGTTCACATTCTACCAACAAAATAGTAATAAATAATGACCAAAAAGTCAAATGTTAAACCAAGAAGTACAGGGCAAAGAGAGAGAAATTTACCAAAGAATCAACATATATACATACATAGATAGATACAGAGAGAAAAAGTTTGTGTTTTGAGAGAGAGAGAAAGCAAGAATAGGAAATCCCCATGGATTTCAAGATCTATGGTTGAATGTTCAATGTAGCAAAGAATCAACACATATATACACATAGGATAGATACAGAGGGAGAAAGTTTGTATTTATAGAGAGAGAAAGCATGAATCTGAAATCTCCATGGATTTCAAGATCTATGGTTGAATATTCAACTTTCTTGTAGGTTCAAGTAATGGAATTTACGGATTCACCTCAAGACGCAACAATAAGAACAATTCGACCCTTCAAAAATTGTCTTCAGAGCTGCGATTGTTCTCGTTCTCTTCTTAATCTCTCTCTGGTTCACCTCAAGACGCAAGCAATGGAATTTACAGGTTATTATTTTTTCTCTTTGGTGTCCAATGGGTTAACTTACTCAGTCCATTTAAGCCCAAATAAAAATAAGAATATTTGTAACAACCCAAATACAACCCATTTATATAAATAGAAGGACTCAACCCATTTATTATGTGTGGGTTTTGGGCGAATTAATGGGTTTGGGCTTGAATTGCCAGCTTTAAGGAGGAGGTGGTGATGGTGGTGGAAGAGTAGGAGGTGGTAGTTGAGTGGTGGTTGTGGTGGCGGTGGTGTAGTAGTAGTGGTGGTGGAGGTGGATTGATGGTAGAAATGGTGCTCATTTAGACTGACTTATATGGGTACCCATGTCCAATTCATGTAAACTCAATTTTAAGCCAAGTTTGGCAAGTTGAAAAAAAGTTAAAAAGTCAAAAAGTTACTCAAAAAGTTAAAAAGTTATCACTATTCACCAAAAGTCAAAAAGTACGGCTGCACAACTCCCAATCTTAATTTTCCCTTACACACTAATTTATACAATTTTTTAATACACATTTTTCCATAAAAAGTCAAAAAGTTAACCCAAACATCCATATTTTTTTCCTCAACTTTTTAGTCAAAAAAGACAAAAGTGCACTTATTTAGGACACTCCAAACAACCCCTTAATTAGGTTGAGAATGAGCAACCCATTTAAGTCCATTTATCGATTTGGGTGGGTTTATACGAGTTTTAAATGTGTATAATTGGATTGAGTTTGGGCTAGGTTTGCCACCGCTAGGAGTAACCAATTAATTAGTGCCATTTTATTATGTCTCAACTATACAATTGTTGTGCGAAGAATCTTAAGAAAATTCAACCACACCAATATAGTTAATTCATTCGAATATAGAGCAGAATAATCATACAAATTATGCGAGAGTAGTGCTACTTTAAGCCAAAATTAGACTCATTTTTCAAAGTTAATAATATGATAGTCTATTAAAATATCTAAGAAAACTCTCTCTCTCTCTCTCACTATCTCTCATGTCTTCTTTAATCACGAATCAAAATATTCTATTTTACACATCATTGAGTTTAAAAAGTGAGCTTCAATATCATTTTCCATTATGCAAATACAAGAGAGAAAAAAACAAATAATGCCAAGAATTATGTGGTTCGGCGTTAACAATCACAAAGATAAGGACTACTAAAGTATGATAACAAAGAAAACAATCACAAAGATCACTAAACCCTTCCAAGTTTTCTCAAAATTCTCTATAACTTGAACAAACAAGTTTCACTATATCTCAAGTTTCAACTTATAACGCCAACAAACAAATGTTACAAAGAGATATCAAATAAGGATCCACCAAATAGGGCCAACCAATTGACCAAAGCAATCAACAAAGATTAAAGTTCTACCCAAGATCCAAA